ATGACTTGCATTGACTTGCGTTAAAAAACGAAATTTTACGCAGGTATGTAACAGGTAACAGAAAGCGTTTCCGTTTCTTGATTAGGATCACTAGCCGAGTCGATTTAGCCATATCCGTCTGTCCGTATGTCTGTCCGTCCGTATGAACGCGGTGATCTCGGAAACTATAAGAGCTAGGCTATTGGGATTTGGCATGCAGACTCCTAAGCTTCTTGCGCAGCGAAAGTTTGTTTCAGTAAGGTACCACGCCCACTCTAACGCCCACAAACCGCCCAAAACTGGCTCATACAGTTTTGATGCTAGAATACAAATTTTAACTGATATGTATTGTTCTCATCAATAGCTATCGATTGACCAAAAAAAGTTGATCACGCCCATTTCAACGGCCACAAACTTCAATAAATCGTAAATATGAACGCCGATATCTCGTAAACTATCAAAGATAGATATTCATATTTTCATGTACTAGCTGTGTAAAAACATAAAATGTTCTAGTTCTTTTACACCAAAATAAAATTACATTTTCCGTGTCCTACAGGATCCTCCTGGCTCTGCAGGGCTATCGATGCATTGATGCGCAGGTCCTGCCAGAAAATCTGCCAAGCCTGCGGACTGGCCTCCAAGTCCGTGAGCCGATTGTGGTGGATCGTCTGGTTCTGCGAGTTGGATCTGTCGATGGATTCCTTGGGCGATTGAGATGGCTGTTGGTGTTCCCGTTGCTGCAGAGGGACTCCTGTCCGTTGATCCTCGAGTGGTGCTTTGGGCGAGTGACCACTTGCGCCGTTACAAATTTCTTGCGTTGAGACCTCCAAGGGCATGCGTTTACGGTCACTATGTTCTGCATACCTGGACCCGAAATCAGATTCATTACGATATTCTCTGGTGTATCCGACCTTCAGATGCCACCAAAAGTACACAATCTTTGAGCACTACTGGGATATTAGATCTCTGCTATCTTCGTCGATATAGAGTTCGATCATCTCGTTCGGACAGAGGTCCGTCACGAGATCAGGATCGCAAGGATCCACAGGGTTGCGATTGACGATAGAGTGTCGTTTATCGCAACCCTGTGGATCCCTGCGATTTTCTAGCATGAAAATTGTGGGAAACAGGCTTGGGCGGTTTGTGGGCGTTAGAGTGGCATATTCGCGTAACAAACTTGCGCTGCGTACAAGGCTACGGAATCTAAATCTGAAATCCCAATTCTCTATCTTCAATAGTTTCCGAGATATCCGCGTTCATATTTAGGATTTTTTGAAGCTTATGGGCGGTTTGTGGGCCTCAAAGTGGGTGAATCGATAGGTATTGATGAGAACAATACATTTCAGGTAAAATTTTTATTCTAGCATCGAAACTGTATGAGCCACAGTTTTGGGCGCCTTGTGGGCGTTAGAGTGGGCGCGGCACGCAACTGAAACAAACTTGCGCTGCGTAAGAAGCTCAGGAATCTGCATGCCAAGTCCCAATAGCCTAGCTCTTATAGTTTCCGAGATCTCAGCGTTCTTCCGGACGGACAGACAGACGGACATGGCTAGATCGTCTAGGCTAGTGATCCTGATCAAGAATATACTTGATACTTTATGGTGTCGGAAACGCTTATTTCTACCTGTTACATACTTTCCGACGAATCTAGTATACCTTTGTACTCTACGAGTAACGGGTACAAAAAGTAGAACACAATTATTAAAAAACTAACAAAGGCTCCCTTAAAATTTTTATTATTTTGAACAAATAAAATTAAAAATCTTTAAAATCTTTATTGTGAGTTTAGAGTACAAATAAGTTAAGTTTCATTCAAAAATTAACATTTTTATTGAAGTGAAAAAAATCATACGCTTATAATATCTAAAAAAAAAAAAAATTACTCCCAATCATTAATTTTGTTCAATCTTTAAATTCCCGTTAAGATGTAAAATTTATGATTTTTACCTTTCTGCCAACATTTTAATTCAATGCCATCAATGTAAAACTGAACACAAACAACTTTAAATGGGGAAAAAGTAAGCCAGTAAGCAAGTTAAAAAATACCCGATTGCACACAGAGAGAGTACTGACGTTAGTTAAGATATACCTTAACGGCAAGTATAAATTACTTAGAACTTAAAGCCTTAAAATATAATACACTTTTATAGCTATTTTTTTTATGTATGAACAATTTACATACGTATGGAATGTACATACATATGTGAGTGTTTGCTTTCTACATACATATGAATGGTTTTTAAAGTTTCCCCGTCCGACCGCATTTTTTACACATAACGGCACGGGTGTGCTTTAATATGATGTATCCAGGTTTATTTTGCTGGGAATGTAAAAAACAAAATTTAAACCCGTTGGTCGTTTTTTTTAAATCGTTTTTTTTTCGAAAAAACCGAATGTATGTTTTCTATACACATATATTACTGGCAAGAAATATTAGCACCTCTATTTTCTTAAAATAAAATAAAATTAATTACATAAACAACAACAAATTCCTGGTAAATAATTTAAATTTTTTTCTTTTGGTTTATGGCATAAAAAAGGAAACCCTATTTTAGATTTACAGTATTGTAATGTTTGCTGTAATATATTGTGTTGGGGCGGGGTGGCTTGATCGTTGGAAATAGTTGAAGCCCCAAGATCGAATGGTACGCAAAAAAACACGGGGGTACTTTGGGGTTTGTACACTTGGAAATAAGAACTGCTTAAGCCTAACTTAACTTAAGCGCTCCAGAGCAGAGCGGTGACTTAGGGGAGAGATGGAGAGGGAGAGCGGACGGCAGTGCGAGCGCGCGAGATGTAGACATCTGGATAAAACTGCCGCTCGACACTACCTCCTGAAATTAAACGCCCTTTTGACGTGAACATATTGTAATATGTTTACTTTACGTAGCCTCGATGCTATATTTTTTGCCGCTACTGTAATAGAAGCAAGCATTGGCCAAGCAAACGGTACGCAAACGAAACAAGAAAGGAAGTTAACTTCGGCAAGCCGAAGCTTGTATACCCTTGCAGTTGTATTTATTAAATTTAAAAATACAAAAAATGATATTCCCAATAGTATATATGTCAGAAATCACCGAAGCTATAATTTGTTTCATATTATTTTCCAACCAATTTTCCGATCGTTCCTATGGCAGCTATATTATATAGTCGTCCGATTTTGATAAAATAAATTCGAATTTCAGAACTAATTAAAAAATGTTATTTTCAAACGTAGAAGGTTATATGTAAAAAAACACCGAAGCTATAATTTGTTTCATATTATTTTCCCGCCAATTTTCCGATCGTTCCTATGGCAGCTTTATTATATAGTCGTCCGATTTTAATAAAATTAAATACGAAATTCAGAACTAATTAAAAAATGTTATTTCCAAGCGTAGAAGGTTATATGTTAAAAAACACGGAAGCTATAACTTGTTTCATATTATTTTCCAACCAATTTTCCGATCGTTCCTATGGCAGCTATATTATATAGTCGTCCGATTTTGATAAAATAAATTCGAATTTCAGAACTAATTAAAAAATGTTATTTTCAAACGTAGAAGGTTATATGTAAAAAAACACCGAAGCTATAATTTGTTTCATATTATTTTCCCGCCAATTTTCCGATCGTTCCTATGGCAGCTTTATTATATAGTCGTCCGATTTTAATAAAATTAAATACGAAATTCAGAACTAATTAAAAAATGTTATTTCCAAGCGTAGAAGGTTATATGTTAAAAAACACGGAAGCTATAACTTGTTTCATATTATTTTCCAACCAATTTTCCGATCGTTCCTATGGCAGCTATATTATATAGTCGTCCGATTTTGATAAAATAAATTCGAATTTCAGAACTAATTAAAAAATGTTATTTTCAAACGTAGAAGGTTATATGTAAAAAAACACCGAAGCTATAATTTGTTTCATATTATTTTCCCGCCAATTTTCCGATCGTTCCCATGGCAGCTATGTGATAAAGTCGACCGATTTTGATAAAATTTAATTCAAAACTAATTAAAAAATCTTATTTCCATGCTTAGGAGGTTATATGTTAAAAAACACCAAAGATATAATTTAAAAAAATTTTTTTCCCGATTATTCCTATGGGAGCTATAAGATATAGCTGTCCGATCCGGTTGGTTTCGACTTATATACTACCTGCAAAAGAAATAAGACTTTTGGGAAAGTTTCAGCCCGATTGCTTTAAAACTGAGAGACTAGTTTGCATAGAAACGGTCGGACAGACGGACATGGCTAGATCGACTCGTCTAGTCATGCTGATCAAGAATATATATACTTTATGGGGTCGGAAAAGTCTCCTTCACTGCGTTGCAAACTTCTGACTGAAATCGAAATACCCTCTGCAAGGGTATAAAAACAAAAGGGAACATGCAAGAAGCGCGCGGTTTTTCTCGTCTCTTGCATTTCTTGTCACTTGCATATTTAATGTGAAAAAGAAAAGTTCAGCTCCGCGTGTTTTATTACATTTTGATTTTTGCCACCACCATTTGATAATTATTTTCTCAGGTTAGTGAAATGTATGTAGTGTAGTGCAAAATTAAAATATGTAATTGAGTGAAAAGTTAAATGTGATTGATATTCATATCATGTCAATGTGAATTGATATCATCTTAGAAATCAACTGATTTTTTTTCAAAATAAATGTTAAAAAAGGACCGATAAAATGTTTTCTTTCACAAATAATTTATTTATAATAATTTACGGCTAAATAACTGAAAATTCTCAATAAGGAAAACTTTGGATATCAAAAGTTCTTCTGCTAACTTGATGCACATAAAAAAAATTAACTTACATTTGTTTAAGGCGTGCTCTCAAAAATTCATTTGTCGCCTTTTATTTTAATATAAAAGTAATTTATTGTATATTTATTAATGTTTCTTTTTGGTTTAATTTAATTTTTTTGTATTATTTTTCAAAGTCAATTATATCAAAGCAGGTACTTTTTTTTAAATTCTATAAATTTGCGTTTGGCTAATAGTTCTATGTGTTTTTTTTCTCTGTCTTTTTTAGGATTTTTGCATGCAAGTCGGGCGACTTTATATGCTTTATAGCAGCTATAGCAACGATCTGCAAAAATGTGCATACTTCGGTAAGTAAGCTGCCGTTCACATTTAAGAGAAAAATTAGTTATAACTTCCTCGAATTGCAAAGTGTCCCGATGCCCTTGGAGGAGAAAAGGTCCTCGGGGCTGGAAGGTCGGATCCAACGTTTGGAAGACGAAGTTCCCGGGATGGGCAGTGAAGTTCGCAAGATGCGGGCTGATTTAGAGGAGTTGAAGGCAGTGAACTCTGCAATACTTGATTCCACTGCCCAGATGTTGGCCATCTGGAAAAAAATTGCACCAGCCGAGCCAATCTTAAAGGCGGACTTCCCCATTAGAACCCTGGACCACTTAAAGGAAGTGGATGATAAAATATATGGGAACATGGAGAAATATGTAAGTTTCCGCGATCAAACCGTTAATTTCTTAAATCAGAAGTTGAATCAAAAAACATCAAAGATATATTAAATAAAAATGTTTCCATATTTTTACCCTCGCAGAGGGTATAATGATTTCAGAAGAAAGTTTACAACGCAATGTAGGAGACGATTGTGACTGAAACGCTTGTCCAAAATGCTAGATGGTTTAGTAGCTCCATCTGTGGGTCCGATTAAACCCAGCGGTGGCGCCACCTGTGACAGGCCCAGAAAGGGGTTATAGGTAGCTGGTGGGTCTAGGAGAATAACAGCGGCAAATGTCAAGCGGCCCTAGAAATTCACCATGCCCCACGATCGAGGTTACCGGCGGGTCGGCAGCGGCAGATGCTGTCTTTTCCTTTTCGGCAGCGGCAGCGTATAGACGCAGTCAACTCAAGTCAGTTCGCGAGTGACCTAAAAGGGAAATTTTCCACTTGCTTAGTTTTCGGTTGGATCGCGCCTAGACTGGTGAGTTTTTGATAGAAAAGGGAGTGTTTAGGAAATTGAGTTCAGCCGGAAAATTATTGTAGGCGGTCGGCTGTAGGCGATTCGGAAAGTCCGCGAGAAGGCGCTGGAGAAGGAAAGAAAAAGAAAACGGATGTGGATCTTGGTGCCAAACGCAAGCGGGAAAATCGGCGGCCAAGCTGAAAAGTTGGCGGCAGCAGCGTTGGAAATCAATCGTTAATTTTATATATACAATTTCGACCTAACCTGACCCAAATTTTACCAGCTGCGTGTGACCCCATAACCCGAGGCGGTACAGGCCGTGTATTTGAGAAATAAGAAGGAGAGGAGAGTTCCAATTTAGATACCCGCAGCGTTAGAAGTTAATAAAATCCCGACCTACGACAGCAAAATTTAAATTGAGCCGTAAAAGCAACCGCCAGTCGCCTTCGTTGCGCTCCGTCGCAAAAAGAAGAATTTAGAAAAAAATCAATTTACGCGGAAGTAAACGTTTTTTTTGCACCAGCCACACGCGTCGGTGAAAGCCTGTAGTTACTGCCCGCGAGTTAGTCGGCGGCTAGAACATAATTTAAGCAAATTAAGTGTAAGCATAGTTTTTTGTGTTGGTGCTTGTGAATATGTGGGTGTAATAGTGCTTTGGGCAGCTAGCTAAGGAAGAAAGAAGAAAAAGGCGAGCATGCAATGAATTTTTACATTTTTGCTGTGTCGGTTTGGGTGTCTCCTTTTCCCCTCTTCTTTTTTTTGCATTTTCTTTCCCCCTTCACAGCTCTCATCATCCCGAAGAAAGCGCTTTCGTCGATGGATTTGAAACAGTGGTGAGTCCAAATCTTTATCTATTTATTTCATAAAAGAAAGGGAGTAGGAAGGAAATGGAATAAATTGGAGGGTGAGACGTAAGAAGAAAAGATCAGAAGGGACGGCCGAATGAGCAAGGAATAGAAAGAAATTTACGACAACGTCTGAGCGAACCGGGAAAGCATGAGCTAAAGAAAGCTCGATCGCGTAGATCCCAAGCTCTTCGTTCGCTTTGAGTTTAGTTTTATTTGCCAGTCGACGAAATTGTCTGACTAATTTTCCATAAAATTTGAATTCGAAATGTCCATAAAGAAACCCTAATATTAGCAAGCAAGGCAAAAAAAAAAAATCGTACCATTAATAATTTAAGCAAAGTCCACCAACGGGATTTGAGAAATCGCTTACCAGTTTTTGTCCCAAAAGTCTTTAATCTTGTAATTTTTAAATTGTCGTCTATTCGCATGAGATTTTAAATCGTTTACCTTAGGATAAGTTATGTTTGTATTTTACTATAATTAAAATTTGTATAATGTGCTAAAAGGAATTATTGTTGGCCGCGGCTGGCGTTGACCTGCAATGAAGGAGTGCACTTGAAAAAAGAAGGGGTCGCTCAGGCTGTTAAGCGCTGAGGGTAAGAGCGACCATTGGTAGGGTGGGCATGACCAAGACCTCCAGAACATCGAGGGAGGCGAGAAGGGCAGATCAGTCGGAAAGGGAGTATATAAGAAAGGTCCAGCATCATGTAGTGTGTGATATTCTCTATACCGGTCAGATTGGTGAGGCACGCGAATATCGGAGTTTTATTAGGAAAAGGCATTCCGAGATGTCGGCAAGACCATCACACCCATAGCCGAAGAGCCAGAGCCGGAGAATAACTTATCGCGTGCGCTGGCATCTCGAGGTAACATCTGGCCTAAAGTTTTTATAAGTGTAGCGGTTCGTTACAAGACATGTATTTTTATCTGGTCAATTCCAAAATTGTAGCATTATCTGATATTTCAAATAGTTTTGAATCCTGCCTTAGCGTAGATAGGAAAGATAAACTTTTAAAACCTTGAAGGATTGTATTGCGTTGCATTTTAATGCAGGGGGTCCAAGGGAGCGGGGGCAAAGAGAGCGAGAGGAATTACGTCACAACAGGAGATAAAAATGTCTTTATAAATTGCCACTCTATTCGACCTGCTTTCATCTGCGCAGTCGGAGTCGGAACATTCCCGTAGTATGTTCTACGCGTCGCAAGAAAAGCTCATTCTAGAGTCTCGACTAGGGCTGTCGAATTTTTTAAAAATATCGTATCGATGATATTTGGTTTTTGAAAAAATATCATGATAATTGAAAATATCAATTTAAAATATCGATATATCGATGTTTTATATTTTTTCAAAATATTTAAATTTTAATGGGAGAGGACACCATAGGCTGCTCGTTTAAACTTCACAGCGGACAGTACCCTTAATATGTTGCTTTAACAAGCAAGATATGAAAAAATTTAAGAAATCGAAAAACTGTATTTTTATTAAATACAAGGATGCTAAAATGATCCAATAATCACGAATTTGACCACCAATTTTCCGATCGTTCCCATGGCAGTTATATGATAAGGTCGTCGTAGGAGGTTATATGTTAAAAAACACGAAAAAAATACATTTTAAAATTTTTTTTCCGATTATTCCCATGGGAGCTAAAAGATATAGTTGTCCGATCCGGCTGGTTCCGACTTATATACTACCTGCAAAAGATAGCAGACTTTTGGAAAAGTTTCAGCCCGATAGTGTTAAAACTGAGAGACTAGTTTGCGTAGAAACGGACGGACAGACGGACATGGCTAGATCGACTCGTCTAGTGATGCTGATATATATATACTTTATGGGGTCGGAAAACGTCTCCTTCACTGCGTTGCAAACTTATGACTGAAATCATAATACCCTCTGCAAGGGTATAATAAATATTTTTGATTATTTCTCTGACCGTTTCTTTGACAGCTATATGTTAGAGTCGTCTTAGCTCTTAGAGATCGGCTAGCTGGAGTTGCCGGAGGGCGGGTGCTACGAGTCGATTGGGGGCTTAGCTCCCGTGCTAAGAGGACGGCTTACAGCGAAGTTCAAGCTGAGGAAGGATGTTCCCCTGGCTCCACGGACAGGACTTGTCTGTGTTGGACTGGAAAGCTAAGATGGCTCTGCTAGACGAACGTCTGCTAAATGAGTGGCAACTCAGATGGGATCGCGCGGAACACGGCTCCGTGACTCGCGAGTTTTTCCCAGAGGCAGCGTTCGTTTACAAGAGGAAAGACATTGTCTTTACCCTGAAAGCCGGATTCTTGCTGACAGGACACGGGTCGATGAACGCATTTCTGCAGGGCAGGACTCTCAGCACCACGACCGCATGCTCATGTGGCGTGGAGAGGACTGGCTTCACATACTATGTGAATGCCGCCTGTACCACGATTTATGGGACCTGGATGCCCTTGGAGTCGTTCGAGACCAGGGAAGATGGAACGTCGCGGGAGTAGCTGAGACCCCAGAACGGATGCGTCTCCTAGGAGACTTTGCCCATGCTGCCTACTCGAGGCGATGGATGGATTCGGCGAGGGATGAACCGCAAGCGCCGGGACGTTACTCCCACCCCTCTCCTGTCGTATGGTAGCGGCGAAAAATAATGCCACAGCCTGTCATAGCTTGTCGTAGGAGGCGACTAATATGGCAATGGTTGGCCCATCCGAGCTTTTCGGAGCTGAAGGGGTGAGGCCTACCGAGCCTGTAATTTCGGTACCACGGGTCGAGCAGTTCCAGGACTGCTCATTGAGGTTGACCCCCGAGTGGGAGTATCGTGGTGGCTGTGGTTGACACCTATATCGCGGGTAGAGTCTTCGGGCTCGACGTGGATGTTGCGTTATACATCTCGGGTGCTGTGACCCACAGAACGGTAGAGACTTTAGATAGATCTCGTCCCTACGCAAGAGAGAGTGCCTGCCCGACAAGTAAGTACTTAAATTGCTACTGGGGTAGTTGCTATGTATATATGTAGCTATAGCTTCTAGTCCGGGGCGTTGGTTTGGCGCTTTGCCTAGACCCGTGCATTATATACTCATTTGTGGGTATATTAGAATGCCGTGGTTGTAATCCCTTTTTTGTGAAACATGCCACGTTAAATAAGAGCGGAGGGATCCGATTCTTACTCCGTTAATTTTTTCTCCGTTTGTAAATTCGATTTCTGCGTTTGCGGAGTGGTAACATTGACGGAAACAGTGCTAAGCTCCTTGGCTTGAGTACGCGGACGGATAGTATTGTTCGCGTAGCTGTGCATGGATGAGGAGCGTGAGGAATCACGGTTCACATTTGCTTGCAATTGTTGAAAATTTTGTTAATTTGTTTTCAATTGAGTGAATGCATTTTTTAAACTAATTTTTTGCACCGCCACGAAGATGTCTGAGGATTCACGAAGTGAGGGTAAAATAAGTCCGGACATGTGTTTTTCGGGCTCCTCATTATTGTGATAAATCGGTGGATTAGAACGCTAAGCACATTAAAATTTGCGTTTTTTGCTTGTGACTAATTGAACGTCAAAATCGTTGTGGAAAAGTGACGTTTACTGAAATTCTCAGTTTTCCCAGTTGGCAATTTTCCATTGCACCACGTGTGTTTGAGAGAGCGCTCTCGTGAGAGCTCTTGGCGTTAGGCACAAGTGCGGAATCTCTCGCGCTAACAGCTGTGCTAGCGGGAGTGTGCATCCGCTAATGGTTGCTGCGGTGCTCCCAGATCGATAGAAAAAGAACTTGGTGAGTGGCCTTACTAAGCTTTATTTCTCAGTTAGAGAAGTTTTCGAATCGGGCAGCGAGTCGGCGAACAATCGCAGCAGCAGCGCTAGTCGTCTCGGTAGAGGGCGCCT